CCATTCACCGTCCACTTGTGGCCTTACTCCCACATCGACCCTTGTTCCTTAGCTGTTCCCTTCGTTTGGCAACTCTGCGCATGCGCAAACTGGGAACAAGCTCCAGCTGTTTGTCTGCTTCACTGATATCTGACTCCGAAGGCAGCTGATAACCGTGAAATGGCCCTGGCCCCATCTCTGCCTCTAACACAGAGACCTCATCAGAGCCTTCCCCAGACTCCAGGACTGGTCCTCCCCAACCTCCTCACTGTCCGAATCTGCTGCCAACTCCGCTGGCCACTGGCAGGCTACAACACTTTGTTCCGGGTGACTGCACAAATGGACAAAAATCTCATGCTAGAACTTTCCTTCCAGAAGAAAACCAACATTTTTTTTAAAAAAAAATCAAGGGTATCTAAGAATAGGGCATTTCACAGGTAGTCCTCGACTTATGACGACAACCAAGACAGCTGCTAAGTGAGTTTTGTCTCATTTTACGACCTTCCTTGCCACGGTTGTTAAGCGAATCACTGCAGTGGTTAAGTTAGTCACACGGTTGTTAATTGAATCCGGTTTCTCCATCGACTCTGCTTGTCACAAGGTCGCAAATGGGGATCACACGCCCCAGGGACTCTGCAACCGTCATAAATATGAATCGGTTGCCAAGCATCTGAATTTTCATCATGTAACCATGGAGAGGCTGCGATGTTAAGTGTGAAAAATGGTCGTAAGTCACTTTCTTCAGGGCCATGTGGTAGATCGAGGGCTGTCGTGTATGTCCAGTTAGTCACCACCACTCAAATGTACATTCTTCCCCTGAAAATTGTAAACTAATCCAGCTGTAAAAATACCAAGAAAAAACAGCTAGGAAATTAAATTCTAAATGTATAGTTCGGTTACAGAAGGCCTCAATCCAAACGCCAAAGTATATAGAACAGGATGGAAGACCAGGCTTATCCAATGAGAGGCAGATTAATTAAAGACAGAAGTTGATTAATCAACTGTGACAGAGAGAGAGAAAGAGAGAGAGAAAATTTGGATTAAGGAACAGCTGCCGGCGGCAAGGGACGAGGCCTGCCTACTGAGATCAGCCAAATAAATATGCGCATAAAATAGAGGCAAGGATATGGCTTTTCGGTATTTGACTAAGATCCAGGGAGAAGAGGCCAGTATTTAAGATCTGTGAAATGATCTATTTCCTACTCCCCGGTTTCCCTAAGCTTCGCATTTCCAAATGACAGCAGGGACCTAACTAGATTAAGGAACAGATAACTTAAGGAATGATTAAGCAATTAGGGATTAACCAAGCCGATCCGAACAAGAGACCTCAGCCAGATTGGCAGATGTAAAAGGATGAAGCCGCGGTGCATTTCCACGTAGATGGTGTCTCTGAGATATCCGGTATGTAATCAGCCCCCAATTATTTCCTCTCCTCACCTTTTTGGCACTCAGCCAGCTTTGTCATGCTGCTGCTCCTCCAAGTAGTAAGTCTTGGCGTGAGCAAATGTGGCACTTCCAAGCATCAGCCTGATGCGAGGTTGGGCCGTCACTTTCGCGTGCGATGTGCGGAGGGAAATGTTTGTTTGCTCGTAAAATTTACCTCTAACCAGTCCAGCAGCTCTGCAAGTTGTTTGCCAACCACCCTTGTGTTGTTGACAGCGATGGTGTAGAGTTGTTGGGCGAGAGCCAGCCAGTTCACTACCACCACGTTGGCTTCCTTCTCACGTTGTTGAAGAGCTGAGACCAGGGTGTCCAGCCATCTTTCGTACATGCCACCCATCTGGGGAAAAAACAATCAAGATATGGCTCCATTCTAGTCCTAGGAAAATTATAACCAGGGCTTGAAAACTTCAGAAAACTACCGCAGCTCTCAAATGCGCTAGTGGTTTTTTTTAGCATGTTCGAGAGCTCCGGTAGTTTTCAGCGGCCTGCAGCCAGCTGCTACAGCCGGGAAGTGGCTAGTAAAGAGGTGGCGGCTGGGAGGCTTCTCGTAGTCGGACCAAAAAAGAGTGCTTGCCTTCCGGAGTCCAGACAAGCCGCTGCGGGAGGAAGGTAAGCCTAAAGAAAGAGGCGGTCGTGGGGGAGGAAATGGGACTAGGGCCAGGGCAGTGGTGAAATTCAAATATTTTTACTACCAGTTCTGCAAAATCTCCATTCCCACCCCACTCCAGGGGAAGGATACTGCAAAATCCCCATTCCCTCCCCACTCCAGGGGAAGGATACTGCAAAATCCCCATTCCAATCTCACTNTGCTCAGGCATGAAACTGTGCCGCTCAAACACTATACTTTTCCGCTCACACTGAAAAAAAATTAGAGGGAACATTGATAGCATCAAGTGCCAAATTTCTCTTCACATTTTCATTTGGCCAGACCTCCTTCCCCAGCAATGGAATGGATTCACATTCAATGCTTAATATGCTGAATGACCTCTTCAACAACAGTATAAGTGATGTGTCTTTTTCCTGTATGGCATAAAAAGAAAAAAATTAATAGTTATTTTTTTGTAAAACCTTGCAGATTGTGTTTCCCTTCCTTGTCTGATTCTTGGAGACTGTCTGCAAATCCCTGCAGGTTTCTGAGAAAGAGAGAGAGAGAGAGGCTAGATAGATGCTTGCTAGCTAGCTAGCTAGCTAGACAGACAGACAGATGATAGCTGAAAGAGAGATTTGTGTTTGTTTGTTTGTTTGTTTGTTTGTATATCTGCTTCAAAAACTATTTGCAGTTTCTAGAGACCACTGATCAGTCCCATAGATGGCATGCAGAGCCATTTCTGAGGGCACGTGAGGTGTTGCCCTGTGAAATCCAGTGCACAGGCGTGTGCCATTTCAAGGCCAGCTGATTTCGGTCTTGATTTTCAGCCATTTTTTTAAAGGTTTTTTTAGACAAACAAACACAAACAAGACATAAAACATAAAACCATCTTCAAGTTACATACAGTGTGTCAGCTGGTTACAAAACTTTTGTGCATCCTCTCCATAGTCCTCACTTACAATTTATATAAAATCTCATATTATCAATCTAGTATATATGTATATATTATTATTAATAATAATTATTTATTTGACTACATCTATTATTACTTCATTTTATGTGAGATATTCTGAATTTTGAATTAATTTATATTATGGCATTTTCATTACATCATTCTAAATCCATCCAATGCTAGTACATCTTTATATTATATTCTGTATCATTCCATTATCCTTGTATTGTAAGATTCTCTAGTATATTTTATTTCCATATTTTTTAAATCTAACTATTGATAAAATAAATCCCATATCTTATAAAATTGTTTATCTTCTTCTTCTGTGATTTCAAATGTTAATTTGCTCATTTCGGCACTTTCCATTATTTTCTGAATAACTTCCTCTTGCGTTGGTGTTTTCTTGTTTTTCCAATTTTTGCAAATACAATCTAGTGCTGTTAACATATTTACAATCAGATATTTCAATTCTCTACTATATGTTTCCAGTAAAATCCCCAATAAGAATATCTCTGGTTTGAAGTCTATATGTTTTTCTATCATTTTTTCCAACCATGTGTGATTTTTAGTCCAGTATCTTTTAGCTTCTGCACACGCCCACCATATATGGTAATATGAACCCAGTATCTGATGACATTTACAATATTTTTCAGATTTATTCTTAAACATTCTTGCTATTCTTGTCGGGGGTAAGTGCCACCTATAAAACGTTTTATACACATTTTCTTTATATGCTTTTGACATTGTTATTTTATAATTTTGAGACCATGATTTTTGCCATTTCTCTAAATCAATCCCATGTCCAAATTTTTCCCCCAAGCAATCATTGTTTCTTTAACTTGTTCCTCCTCTACCTTAACCTCTAGTAAGTATCCATATATTTTTAATCACCTTTTCATTGGTGATTTTATCTGAATCAGTCAATTTATCATAAAAGCCTTCTATTTTAAAATCTTTATCATATCTAGAAGATATTTGCACATATGAAAACAAATTCATCCTTAACCTTGTTCTTCCAGTTCTTGCATAGTTTTAAGTTCACCCTTAGCATTCAATATTTCACCATATTTAACTCTTCGTTCCTTTTTATATGTTATTGGATATGAAAAAGCTTCAATAGTTGATAACCAGACTGGAATTTTAAAATAATGATGCATTTTAATCTTCTCCCAGCTTAATAACAAAGCCTCACATATATGTCTTCTGAAGTATCCCTGTGTTTTAATTCCCTTGTACCATAAGAAAGCATGCCATCCCAACAACAGGTCATGTCCTTGTAGTGTCAATAGTCTAGAATTTCTCAGCATTATCCATTCCTTAATCCACATCAAGCTTGTTGCCTGATAGTATAATTCCCAATTAGGCAGGCTAAATCCTCCTCTTGTTCTAGCATCTTGCAAGTTTTAATTTTATTCTCGCTTTCTTTCCCTGCCAAATATACTTCAACACTATTTTATTTAGATCTTCAAAATAATATTTCCCTAATCTGATTGGAATTGTCTGGAACAAATATAAAATCCTAGGTAGTATATTCATCTTAATTATTAATATTCTTCCTATTAGTGATAACTGTAAATTTTCTCATTTCACAGGTCTGTCACAATCTGTTGTTTAAATTTATGATAATTATTCTCTTTAAGTGTACTGCATCTTGCTGTCAAGTATATCCTCAAATACTTGTCCTTATTCGTGACCTGTATCTTCAAAGCTTCCACCAATTCTTCCTTTTGTCTTGCTAGCATATTCTTTGTCAGGATCTTCATTTTATCTTTATTTATTTTCAGGCCTGCTACTTTTCCATATTCCTCTATCTTTTCTCAATTTAAGTGCTGTTTCTAATGGATCCTCTAAAATGAAAATCAGGTCATCTAGGAATGCTTGCAGTTTGTATTCTTCCTTTTTAATTTTCATTCCTTTTATATCTTTTTCTTCTCTAATATTTCTATTTAAGACTTCTAAAGTTAACACAAACAACAGAGGTGACTGTGGGCAGCCTTGTCTTGTCCATTTCCTTATGTCAATAGAATCTCTCATTTACCATTACTTTTGCTGTTTGTTTATGATATATAGCTTCTATGGCTTAAATAAATTTCTTGCCAAAGCCCATCTGCTCCAACTATAATAACATAAATCGCCAATTCACGTTGTCAAAGGCTTTCTGTGCATCCAGATATATCAAAGCCATTTGTTTTCAGGATGAGCCTCGAAGCATTCCAAAATGTTTAGAATTATTCTCCTATTATCTTTAATTTGTCTCTTTGGCAGAAACCCATTTTGATCAGGATGAATAAAGTTATTTAACTATCTTTTAAGTCTTTCTGCCAATATTGAAGTGAAGATTAGCAGGGAAATAGTTCTATAGTTCTTAATTTGTTGTGGGTCAGTTTCCTCCTTTGGCACAAGTGTAATGTATGCTTCTGACCATGATTTGGGTAACCTCATATTTAACATGATTTCATTCATAACTTCTAACAATGGAAGATTCACTGATTCCTGTAGTGTCTTAGAAAATTCCACTGGCAGTCCATCCAGACTTGGAGCCTTTCCATTATTTTGTTTTTTAAGTGCTTCAGTTAACTCCATCCTTGTTATATTCCCTTCTAACATCACTTCAGTTTCTTTAGATATCTGGTGTAGATTCAATTTCTGTAATTATTGTTTAACTCTTCCCTCATCTATATGCTCTTGTTCATACAGTTTTTCCATAGTAATCTTGTATAATATTTTTCTTTTCTCTATTTTCATGGCAAATTTGCCCTTGATCATCTATTAATTGCATTATTTTTCTTGATTCTCTTTCTTTTTTTCAGTTTATACACTAACCATCTACCTGGTTTATTTGCATCTTCAAAGTAGTTCTGTTTAGCACCTCTGATTTTTTGTGCTAGTTCCTCCTTTTCCATTAGTCCCATTTTATGTTTAATTGTGTCCATTTTTATTTTGACATGCTTTTTTGTGGAGATTTCTGTAGCTCTTTTTCAAGTCTCTTGTTATCATCCTCTAATGTTTTAAAGGTTTGTCTTTTCTTGATGTTTCTTTTCCGTGTGTAATCTATTATCAGGTCTCTAGCATAGGCCTTCATTGTATCCCAAAAATTCTGCATTGATGTCTCCTCTTTTCTGTTTTCTTTGAAAAAGAAAGCCAATTCTTTTTCCATTTTCTGTATAAAGTCCTTTTCCTTTAATATAGTATTGTTTAAAGTCCATCTAAATCTTCTCCTTTGTCCTTTCCATTTAATTGTCA